TAATGCAGCGCTCACATAGGCCCCGCAAGAAGCGTAGGGCCTTTGCTCTGCCATCCGTCAGGCTGTCGGGCGAGCGCCACTACACGGCTCTGCACTTAACTTCACGCCGACCGTACATGTGTCTACGGAGGGGACTCCTGCTTGTTAATAGTTATGAAGGGCCGCGCGGAGTGGTCATCCCGCAACAGACACCAAATTATGAACATCGTCATGACAGATTGTGGCGATTTGCGGCGAGCAAGGGCGTGTCTCCTATCAATTCACTATTATTTCCATTGCACTTGTTGATTTGACTGTAAACGGCGAAGTGGCAACAGTATACCAGCAGCCGTCCGTAGAATTGAAGAAAATTAACAATAAACTTTAAGCTTCACCCAGATTCAAACATGTAATTGTGTGACACATCTTATGAGGTGCCTAGGCGAAAGTCATTCTAGTACTATAATAAAGAAATTGAAGTGTCTTTATGCGGCCGAAAGAGGTACGGCCGCATAGACACTTCAATTAGGGCTTCGCAATTACTATTTAGTTTGTGTGTTCGTCGAGAGGAGTTTTATAATCAAATCTTTAAAGTTGAACCTCATATGTATGTACAAATTTAACCCTAGTTTAGTATATGGTGTATTTTGTTTATTTACGCATCTAAGCATACAGTTGTCTGATATCCATATGGCGCAAAAATCTCAACGTCTGTCTCTATTTCATTTTGTATTTTTATCAAAGTAAATACTCCTTCACAATCAGAATTCAGAACTTTCCTATGCCGAAGATGTCTTGGCTGTCTAACTGCACCGACGAAAATATCTCACTGGAAATAAACCTACAAGAACAGTGGGATGTTTCTTTGGTACGGAGAGTACAGAAAGATACGTTTCAATCTTTAGAAAGTAATTTAGAGCGTGCCCGGTAGGAAACGTTCTAGGCGTTTCATCTAAAGAATCGAGTTATTGGTCTCATGCTTTACCATCAAGTAACTTGGGCACATTACGTGACGATAAAAGCTTACGCATTGCTGTAGGAATCCGTATGGGGGCACCAATTTGTCAACCACACCAATGTCCCTGTAGTGTCAGTGCAGACAAATTTAGTCTCCATGGGCTTTCGTGTCAAAAAAGTGCTTGCCGGTTTTTCCGCCACGGTTACCTGAACGATATCATCCGTAGGGCTCTTGTTTCCATCAATGTTCCATCTATTTTAGAGCCCTGTGGCATTTTTCGCGACGATGGTAAGAGACCCGACGGTTTAACTTTGATCCCTTGGGAGAGAGGCAAAGCTCTTGTTTGGGACGCCACTTGTGTAAACACTTTGGCTGCTAGATGAGATCTAAGGGGTACTTCGGTCAGGGCCGGGGCGGCATCAGAGGCAGCTGAAGTAAGTAAATGGCACAAATATGGTGATGTTTAGATTATGTATTTGTGCCATTTGCTGTTGAAACTTAAGGTCCATGCACATCAAAATTTTAAATTTTTTTAAAAGTTTATGTCCTAGGCTTTACGCCGCGGCTGGTGATAAGAGAGCTGGTTCTTTTCTCGCTCAAAGGTTAAGCATAACTATTCAGCGAGGAAATACAGCTAGCGTTCTTGGCACCATGCCACGTGGATTAGGTTTTTTAGATAATGTAATTTTAGATAGATTAAATCTTGTAAATATTTATATTATTGTTATGATGTTTAACTGTACTTGCTGTGCTTATCTTTAAGTTATTGTTACATTTTTATCAATGCTTGGTTCCACCTAGTGAACAACTTTACGGTATGCCTACATTTTCAATTAACATTATTCAATCTACCTACATAGATTTTTTTTAATTTTTTTCCAATTCTCAAAGACAAATTTCTTATAATGAAATGAAGTTTTATTTACTAAACCTATATTTTTCATGCGAATTTAATATATTTTGCCATCTTTCTGGCAATAATATATGATGTCCAGACCTGAAAAATGTTGGGGTATGGTGTGGCAGTACATATCAACCAAGATATAACATTTGGAGAGTTATGAAACTTGAGCTGGATAACATTACATTTCTGAATTGACCTGTGTTTTACTAGCTGGCGAAGTGCTTTGTCGGTTTATACTTTTTTGATGATTTTATTACTCAGAGATCCCACAATTATGATTTAATTCCTACATTGTCACAACTATAGCCGAAAACTGAACTTTAACTACATATTAAACGTGGCTAACAATTAAAGTAGCTACGACAGCTTTAGAAGTTATTTGGCAGAGGCTCTTTCTTTCGATTGTGAATCTGTATATTTAACACCCGTTAAGTTACCCAGATATGTTGTTATATACGTGGAGGATAAAGGTAAAGAAAATAATATCTGTGTTTAAAACGGGTCCGTCAAAAACTTTTAAACTGGTAGGGCTACGGTAACCAGTGGGATCTAGGCAGTTGTGGTAAATTAGGTTATCGTTTTAGCTGAATACACAATTTAAGTTGAGGTCTAAATACTGTCGTTTCTTCGAGTACTCTAGTCACACAAATATTAAATTCCAAAATTCAGTACTTCACTGTATCGACAAAATTTTATGTCCATTTCATACCCTCTAGTTATTCTAGCGCTGTTGCGAATTTTTTGTTTTTTTTATTAGCTGCTTACGAAAGGACACATTTTAAACTATTCTACCATGTGACTGTTCCCCTTATATCTACACCCCATAGTTGCACATCTCATGTGATCACAGGTTTGCAAAACAGATGGCCGTGAAGGAACACTAAAATGAACACAGATTTCATGTCGGAAAATACAGAAATAATAGCTACTTTTATTCTTCTGTTAATAAGTTTCTATTTCAATACGTAAATAATAGTCCGAACGATGCTAACAAATGTTTAATTCCTATGGTTTTTTTAATTATTAATTTCAATACTTTCATAAGCCAGATAATTCCAAATTCTTAATCTGTATTCCCGCATAGTAAAAGTGTGAATAGGGCGTTAAAAATAGCAATGTGGCTTTATAACAGTTTGATTTTTGTACTATAATTATAGTATCTGTACTATATTTTCATACTCATGTTCTTGTCTAGACACCATCACATCAGCCGTACCGAACAGCGCAACAAATGTCTATTAAAATTAGAAAACCCACGTTTCACTTACACGAGTGTCATTTGAGTTACTTACAGATAACGTGTTCGCGAAAAATAATTAATTATCCTGGTTTGTGCTATCAAATCTTAAGGCAATTATGTGGGAAAATCGTATAATAATACCAAAATCACATTTCATCAGTTGAGATTAGTGATTTAGCCACTACTAATTTAATAAAACACTTTTTAATTCGTTATTTCCAGTTAGACGGTGTTGTCAGTTATTACTTGGAAGTTTTGGGGAAACTATAGGAGACCAAATACAAATATCATTACATCATCTTTCGATCGAAACATTAGTTTTAATAATTTAACTACACAAAATAAATGAAACCGATGACGTCATGAACTAAATAGTATTTTTTCAGTTCTTTTTTTTATTTTGGTTTTCAGATTCCCCACGGATACGCTACTTGGATATCGCTGGATAAGGATTATACAGCACATTATAGTATTTTGATGTGTAAACTATTCCATTGTTTTCATTGTATTTTTTGGTGTTACTAAAATAATTAGTTACCGACCGAAACTGGTTTTTACGACCGAAACCGAAGCTGAATTTCGGCAACAGTCTCAATTTCGGCCGAAACCGAAACCAAAACTTCTATAAAAGGATCATGTTTTGAGGGAAAAATATTTATCTTTATATCATATAATTATGCAGTCTTCGACATTTTCACTTATTGGTATGGTAATCAACTTAACAACCCCATTTAAGAAAAAAATATTAATTGCGCCTTAAAATAGATTTATTTAAGTAGTTAGGTTCTTCTTTTTAATATTATTCATGATTATTTTAAATATTAAACATTTATTAAACATAAATTTGTTACCTAATATCACAATAGGAACATACTTATTAAATATTTAAGTGCTAAACAAAACAAAGTAAATAAATTTTATCTTAAGAACAAATTAACTTTTTTTAAACTTATTAGTAATTTTCTATGACTTTCAGTAAACAAAAACAACAACTTTCCACTACAAAAACAGCCACTTTCCTCAAAGAAGTTTCGGTCCCTTAAATTTTTGTGTGACATTTTGTGAACGTTGCTCGTAAGGTCAGAGATTTTCAGAATTTTAATTGATGCTTAAGGTGCCTTTATTTGTAAATTTATTAATTTGTAATTGTTTATAGTGTTTTTAATAATTAGTCAGCTGTCAGACGATTTAGACTCCTTGAACGTCGCAGCGTTAATAAAATCCGTTCATCCATCCAAATTGACAGCATCACATTGGCTACTTCACGAATTTAACTAGTTGACGAACATGAATCAACGTTGACGAAAAAACCTTCAGCGACCCTTCGCTAATCTTCGTCGCTTGCTTGCATGGAATTTAACGCGCTGATCATAACCGATAATAGCGCGAGAACTCCCGGGTGCAGATTAGGTTTCAGTCGTAGTGCCGGTTTGGCGCCAAAACCAAAACTAAACTGAAACTAGTTTTTTTGCCGAAACTCGACCGAAACCGAAACCGTACATTCGGTCGGACACTAAAAATAATTAAAACTACTAGCCTACAAAAAATTACTTTATTTAACCTATTTTGCTTAACTTTAATCTTATTACGTGAAAACTTACGGGAAAACTTATGTTAACAATTTGAAGCCGGAATCCCTAAAACACACCAACACCTTAACAGTTTGTTTACAATAATGAGCAAGTAAAAAATATATAGGGATATAATATCAACTAAACTAACTTAAAAATATCGTATCAACATTTTGAAAAACTTTCGATAATTATCGATTCAAAATTCATAAAAAAATAATAGAGGAAGAAAATAGTTGCAAATTTTTAAAGTTATTGATGCGCGAGGAGCATTAAAGAGTATCTAGCACTCGGCAATAAGACATGTCACGCAACCAAAGACAGATTTAGAGCGTCGTTTGTTAGGCAATGCTCCATCTGGACAAGTACTTCAAAGTTCGTACTATATACTATCCATATCTAAGGACAGTACAGAAAAAATACTATTGAATTGAAACTATAGTGGGAATTTCACTGATTTTATTCGTACTGCGGATATGTTGAAATGATTAAATTCTAAGCATGAAGCAAATATTGAAGTGCTGATAAACATAGAAGAAAATAATTCCTGTTAAAATCAAAACTATAAATTATACTATAAGTTCGTTACAAATACTACCCTCTCTAGCTCTACTTTCTTTTTATCTTACCTAAATCCAGCCCTGCTATAAAATCACGGATGCCAACTTAGAAGTTTTCTTCCTAAATTTAGGAAAAAAAGTTTACAATGGAAGTTTTTTCGGAGGAGAAATTTTTTGGGAATATTTCTAGGAATAAAATTTTATTTACATGTATGAAAAAAAAATACAATTTTAAATACAAAATATAATGTAATAGTATTGGCAGCTTTGTATATTTTATATAACAGTGACTACAGTTAGCTGCATTGGCTTAAGTAGTATTTTAAATTGTTCCGCCATAAACGCTTATTGTGAACGTCTACTCGTAATATATTCATTCAATAAGTAATATAAAATGCCAAAGGGTGAGAAAATTGCCATCGGAAATGTTCTAAAATTTAAAGGCATGTTTAATTCAGATCTTTTATAATTGAATGCTACTTATTCCCATTGTTTATAGTCTGAATCTTATAACGTCACTATACAATTTATTTAATTTGTATAAGTATTTATCAAGTCAATGAACAATGTTGAAGGTGAAGTATATTAATTTTTAAATAAAAAAATTTTGAACTACCTTGTTAAATAATTTAAAAAAGGTAACTTTTTAATTTTAGGTTTTTGAATTTCTTGTTATTTTTCAACAGTTGGTAACACTGCATAAAATGACGTCAAAATAAAAAGAAACGTCACTTTGGACTATTTCAAGTTTCGAGTTTGTGTTATGTACACATTAAGCAGTATATATAAACTATTATTACAGTAGATTTTGTAAAGCTTTTATCCCTAATAATTTTAATTGCATATGTTGTTGTTTATGGAGCTTAAACTTGTGTTAATTTTTTGTGACGTAGGTACCTATTTAAAACCCAGGTCGTGCTTCATTACACGTGTTGTTGTTCTTATTTGGGATTTTTCGTGAAAGCATGTACAAAGTATTTCTGGTGGACTATCTGGATATACTTCATAAATAGGTTACACGGTGTGTATTATTTTTGTTTTGCACTATATGCATTAACATTTATCCCTTTTTTTGGATATTAGTTTCTATTTTACCATTGATTTTTAGTATATTAGTAGGAACTCAGTGCAGAAACAATCTGCGCTTTATAGAAGTTTATTTGAATGTAAAAATTAAGCTAAACAATCTTTTGTAATCATAAATATTTATATAAAAGTACAGTAATTTTGTAGTTTCCATTTTTTTCATTTACCCCCAAAAGTGTCCTATATTTAAGCCCAATTTACAAAGATTAAGATGCACGATCACGGATCTTCTGTATTCGTTGAAATACCGCACACAAATATAGTACTCCATTTTGTCTTTACTTTAAGTGATTTAGGGTAGGTACTCATAAAAGATATATTGCCAGGGAGCAGCTAATGTATTTAGACACGGCAAATAGTAGTAAAACTGTAATTACAGGGGACCTTTGCTCTTCAGTAGACTCAAGAAGTAAATTTTTCTAATTTACTCAAATTCATGTTATTATGTCCTAAATTGTCAGATTTTATTAGAGAAAGCTTAGTATGTATTTATAACATCAGAAATCACGCATGCGATACGGAAATTGATACTAAAATTTAATAGAGTCTTAGCTGGCACCGCTAGATAACACTGAAAACGTAATTTAGTGGTACTTTAATTTTTTCCTCATTTACAGAAATTTAAAAATATTAACCTTAAAATAAGCATTGAATGCATATTAATAATAAAGGCTAAACGGCGCAATCAAACTAACCCATCATCTATTAAGTAATTAACAGTGCCGCACAATTACGTTTATCTTTATTTGGTGTTATGAACACCTGTTCGAAATAATTAATTAGGTATCTTTTTTAAACATTTGATTTGAAGTAACTTTATAAATATACGTAATTGCTAAGCTTCAATGCCTTTTTTCAAAATTTTTGTAATATGTAAAATCAATTGACGTTGGTACAATAAGAAAAAAGTATTAAAATTTAAAATAGATGTACGAATAATATAGATGGTGTATTAACAACTGTAACAATATTAAACGAAGAGTTATTACTCGTATCGCGTCAATTGAAACAGGCTATGTTGCTGATCTTTACACTGGCATGCTCTGCCAGATTTCATTTAAAAGACCCAAACCAACTTTTGCCATTCGTCTTAGACTCTCCAAGCAGAACTTTAAGAAGACTGACTGAAGCTCCCGCCGCGTCGCAGCCGTCGGTAATTTGCATCCACAAGTTTATCAGATATGGTGTGGGTATGTAGAGAACTTTTAAGCAACTCCAGTGATTTTAGTTGATCACAGCACCTTGACCTTGGCAAACTATTGATTAGGAGTCACCAAATATTCCACCTTCCTGTATTATACATTTATAATAGGTGCAAAAATTTCACCTGTAATATGATAGATTCACTTTTCTTTTCAAAATCTTTGGGTGTATATTAATTTGACACATCTAATTTTACAACTATCACTATTGTTGTTATTTTATGTAACACATATTTTATTTTAACACATATCATTTTATGTAACACATAAAATAATACCTTTTAAAAACTTTACACTAATTAAAAAATTGTCTAAAGTAAATATATTATACACTGGCATAATTTGACTTACTGTATAGGTAGTTTATTTTCCAAGTAATCTTAAGTCTTATATATTTAAATTCAGTTTAATTAGTTGATGCTGGCGATTAGATTGAGATTATGTTATTGATTTACAGGACATTAAATCCATTTAAGGTTCACCTTACATAAATTTTACATTCATGTAGAGAAAGAAGAAATAACAAATTTTATATTTCAATAATATTTAAAGTACCAATTTATGATTTGATTATTAAACACAGGCATATATTAAAAAACTACAACTAAAACTAATAAAATAAGCCCGCGGCGGTGATTATACCAGAGTACACCTATCAATTATGTCCAGTAACTCAATAATAATATTGCACAAGCGATTGCATAAATATGTAAGTCCGCTAATGTTTCCTACATTAGCGGACATATACATATTTATACCAGACCAGATTAAATTGTTGAATTTTGTTAGTTTTATAATTGTTGTTTAGGTTATATAGCTAAGATTTTCAATATTTCATAATAATAAATTTAGTATTATTTTAATATTTTTAGTGCTAATAGAGTTTTTTTGAAGTCGATTCTCATTTTTTTTATTTTTAGTGATTTAATTTTAATACTTTGGTATCATAAACGACAAGATCTAGCAAAGACACTGCTCGTTTGAGAAAACGGGCTTGCACCCTTACTGTAAGCCATTAAAGAGTTCTATTGATCATCATATTCGACTACAAAAATTACTTGACCATGACGACGTTACAAAAGATTCGGCCGAATATCTTTAATTTACTCCTAAGAATTGAAGAGTCGTTTACATTGTCATGGATCCCATAATCTCAACCTAACCAAACTATGTCAAAAAACATTGAAAACGTCCTTCTTTTTTGAAGTCGGTTAAAAATAGGATCACTTACGATAGAAACATTGTGCATGTCTTAAGAAATATTATTATTGAAATATATCTTGTAATTGTTACAGCCGTACAAGTCACAGCCTCCAAATGATTAAATACACTTTTCGTGATTGCATTTACTTATGCAGGATACAATAAATGAATAGAATCCATATTACATATATAAATGTTGATTTTTCCTCAATTTCCTAACTAGATACAGGATATTTAAAAAAATTCAAATAAATTTAACAAACATAAATATACAAGTAACTGTATATATATGTAGAAGACATGTCTTAACAGCGATATAAATGCATAGTATCCATTTAAATCGTTGTTAATAGTTTGAAAACGATAATGCTATTTTTTAAGTATATGTATAAAAACACTCGTTAATGTAATCATAAAAATTTCAAAAGCGAAAACTATTTTAGCATAATAATATTTTATTTAAATGTAGGGATGAAACATTGTTTCTATTTATCAAGATAAAGTACAACTGTCATAAATTTGACTTTATGTATAAAATTATATAGGTACTACGTCCCTAGATTTGATAGGTATACTACGGAAGGGCGCTTTGCACAATTTGATTGTGCAAAGCTTTTATAAATATATTAATTTTGCGTTTAACTAATTTGTGAGGGCCATAATTCGTCAAATCCACCTAATATATTATATAATATATACATTTAATACCTTAATACACAAAATAATAAAAAATTTACTATGTATGTCGTTGTCGTGTTATTCTATGAAAACATATTTCAATCCTAAAATAATAATGTATAATTTATATCAAACATATAATTTCACAATGGTAAATTTAACAATATTTAATTTAACATTAAACATAGTATAGATTTACTTAAGTACTTTACTAATATTTAAATGGTGTCACGGTGACATAAGGCTCTCACTTATGAATAACATTATCTTTACAACATCCTCATTATTGACTTTGTTTGATATTTAATTTTAACAATAGTAAAGTACCAAGTAAATGAAAAGTTTAATGGTTGTAAATATATGCAATAAAACTATGCTCGAGGTTTATTTTAATTTTTGGAATGCGATATTCACTCTAGTTGCAATTAATGATGATATGGGAATTATTCAATAAGAATCATGTATTTACCAGTGTTGGTATTTGTTGTAATGAATAATCTTTATAGTTTATTATTAATTAAAAGGTTGGCTATCATCAACTAATAATCAATGTCTTTCCTTTCTTTCACTCCGGAGCAAACAGGAACTACTTTTCAAAATCAAAATATGACACTCTAGTGACATATTTACTTGAAATTACTTTGCAAAATTTAATTTATATGCAAATATTTCATTATTTAACCAAACCCTGCACTTATTATAATTCTCCCAATCGCTTACATAATTTATTTTTCTAACAGCTCATATAATTCCTAAATTAAAGGAAAATTTCTTGGAGGCCAGTTTACCCGTTCGATTTCTAAAGTTACGTAAACCGTAACGGTTTCTTTAAGTTGATTCCAGTCTTAACTAACCAAGACACTAAAGATATTTGGATTATGCAGAGTATTTCAATTATTAAGCCCCTGGAACGTTTTAGTGTTATAACCTGCGCTAGTTTTGGTCCCAACCGAGCGATCTGTCGACGGCCATTTTCCACTGCTTGTATCTCATGTCGCGCTCGTCTTCGCTAATGCGGGGCTGATATGTAAAACCTGATGTCATCGGTATCGGTACGCCTTGGTTAGTGCCGTCCACGCCCCAATACGCGACCAGGGCCGCGCCTAAAGCGGTGCTCTCGGTGAAATCTGCCTTAATTACATCGATACCAATCAAATCCGCTTGCGTTTGCATCACTAAAGCATTCGAGGTCATACCTCCGTCGACCTGCAACATAGAAACGGAGAATGCGGAAAATTAAACTACATAAATGACAGCGTGTTTCAGTATGGAGCCTCTTCAATCTGAAACACGATGACAAATTACAAGAATTTAAATCAATATTACTTAATTAATTTAGATCACGAAATTCAAAAATGTAATATTTTTTTTTAAATAATGTCTATTTCGCCCTTTATTAACCTATTTCGTTTTATTGTAGTGTATATTAAGTTAGCATGGTAGTGTTGATTAAAAAACAATCATCTTTGTTTAATAGTGCTATAAAAGACAATTCTAGGTCAAGACGTTGGTTTATACCACTCAAATTCAAAGAGGAAGAGCATTTACAATGATTAGTTTTTTTTCCATAAAATCCAAATAATTTTTTCATCGACTCGAAACATACGTGATATCTATCGACAGACATTTAAAAAAAAAAAAACGTTCCGTAATGAGGTTCCTCTAAAGGAGAAAAAACAGGCGACAGAAAGGTAAGTAGGTAGGTATCCTCTTTTTGTCATATTATTTTATTTTATTAGGAAAACTTACAGTAATTAAGTACTTATTTTAAAACAATACTGTAACATATATAAAGAGCCAATTACAAGTTCCACCTTTAGTATATACCTTTAGTAGATTTTTTCCTTCAAACAAAACTCTTTTGAAAATTATCCCAGGTTATTGTCTATAATGTTTTATTTATATTATAATAACCCTTTTTATTAAGTTTTTCTTTCATAAATAGATATCGATATAGTTACTACACATATACCTTTAAAAGATGAAGTGGAAAGCCGCAATCCTCGTTCATCGCGTCCAAAATGTCTCGCACTTGGTAGCACACTGCCTCTAAGGCAGCCTTGACGATGTGGTTAGAGTTCGTATCTTCAGTGATACCGCAAATGACACTGAAATTTTACGTTCGTAAACGAAAAAATGCAAGTGATTCGCGTATTGGAGATGATGAGTATCTTTTAATGTCCAATTTTTCCTAAACAACGCCTAATACATTACGTGTACACTAGTTGCGGGAACGCGAAAAATTACGATTTTTGAAATATTCTGCTCCCTTGTTGTTTTTATTTCCTTTCGGTAGAATTAGAGCTGAGTCTGATTTTTAAAACACAGGGGAATGCTTTTAGGATATATTTGCCCTGATATTGCCCTATGTGATTATGACTGCTTTTGATCTGCATAGCTGCAAATCAAAAGATATAGGACTATTAAAGGTCATTTTGGTTCTATCACATCCTAAATTTTTATCGTTTTGAATTTATTTTATTTAAACGATTTATTGAGATTAGATCTCTCTGTACAATTTTCCGCAAATTGAAAAACGATGAAATTTTAATATGAGAACCATGTCAGTTTATATTCAAATAAAACGATAAATACATTGTGAATCTATATTTAGCACTTGTCGTTTAAATCGCTTCGTCCAGTGTGACTACGTTCATTTCAATATAATATTCAAATTAAGATACGTGGGGTAAAATCCCACCGCTGCCTGAAAGTATGAATAATTAACAATAATTAAATAAATCAACACGTTGATGCGCTAAAAATACAGCATACATGCTATTCTTATTTGACTAACACTGATCAGGAGTGGTATGCACAGAGATAAGTAGGCCGTGAGATATTAAGGTTCTTTTCTTGGCGAAGGACATTGTAAGACTTGTGATGAATTCCAAGTTAAAATAATTACCGAGGAAGATATTAAAGTGTTTGGAATTTAAACAACTATTTGATACATACAAATCTATCTAAAAAACCAGCCAACGGCGGGTCAGACTCGCGCAAGAAATATTTCGCACCACTAACTACAACGAGTCTTCTAAATTGTATGAGCGCCCACACAACTCAGAGGACTATCTTAATAGGACACTCTTTACTCTTCAACTCTTTTATTTTTTGGATTTTTTTTCCTATATTTGTGCTGTAAGACCTTTTTACCAAATTTCGTGATCCTAGGTCAACGGGAACTACCATATAAGTTTTCGACCCAAAACCTATCTTCCTGACAACGCTACAAGGCTAAATCTATTTAGCAGGAATGGCATATTTTTTGAGAAGATTGTTTTACACAACATTAGCGAAATATATGTTCACTACCTCGTTACGGGCATATACATATTTAAGGAATGATGATTTCTCATTCATAACTAGAGCTGAAAAAAAAATGTATGAGCAGAAAATTTGGCAAGAATAAACAAAAAAAAAACTAGATAACATTTATTAACACGCTTTGGTGTTGATAAAATAGTGGGAAAATTTTGTGCCATTTAATCAACTACAGCAAATGTTCAAGGATTTAGTGATATCAGGTTTTAGTGGCTGATTTTGCTATGATTTAGAAAATACGGAAAGCTAAATTTGTAAGAAATCAATCTGAGATGTATTATAGTGATGACCACTAGAGCATATAAAATAATCAACTTAAAGAAACCTATATTAAACTTAAAAGAGTTCTTGGTATATTTGCGGAGTTTCATACCAGAAATTGTGACAGTTACACCCGTGCATTGACATTCAAGAAAATGCGCAATATTAAGAAAATGTTAAAACTTGTACGATCTGTCTATCATCACCCTTTTTACTTGAAACTTCCGCATTAAAATGACAGATATCGCCTTATGCAATTTAGGGTATTGTAATTTAACTTCTTTTCACAATTTTTTTGCTTTTTTTATGTGAAAAGTTGCCAAACGAGCAGAGGGTTCACCTGATGTTAAGTGATTACCGCCATCCATGGACATCTGCTATACCCGAGGGTTCCAGATACGTTGGCAACCTCTGGAAAATTGGGCTCCGGCCACCTCACTCACCAGACGAAACGCGAAAGTATTATACTTCCAATTTACGCCGGTCTTCTGTCAGGTTGTGGTACTTACCCGGACGAGCCAGCCCATTCGTGCAACAGCCGAGGCTGCTGCGTGGCTCTACCACCGTAGATGCTGTTTACCTTACTTACGATCAAAATTACATAATTATCGATAGCTAAGGTATCTACTTAGCTACCGTATACATTTTTATCGTCAATATAACATACATTCATAAGCGCAGTGTCTTCAACGCGTTTCGTTTGCTATCTCAAAATGATTATTTTGTAACATATTCATCCCAATATCATCATACATACAAACGCGCAAACATTTGCATGTAATACTATTTTTTTTTTCGGGTTACTTTGTAAGAGAAAAAATGCTCAGATAATACCTGTTTAAATGCTAACCAATCTATTACATGGCGCTGAAATCATAAATATGGAAATGCATGAATTACAGTAAATTTATCATCCTTACTGATATTATAAAGACGAAAATTTGTATGTATGGATGGATGTTTGTTACTCTTTCACGCAAATAGTACTGAATGGATTTTAATAAAACTTTACAGCTTTACAGTTTATATATTAGAATAAGACATAGGCTATAATTTATATACATATTGTTATGTATATCTGTCTTTCCGTCTGAATGATACGCCATCAGTCCATTATAGACAGACGTAGTCGCGGGCAGCAGCTGGTTAATAATAATTAACATCTATGGTTTGAGAGAATACTTGTATGGGATGACAGGGGTCTGCAATGATTTTGATTGAGTGCACGCCCCTAATTTGTCAGTAAAAAGACATATAAAACCGTCATTCATACCCTCTGGCATCTTGCCTCCAATAAGGAGCGTACAAGCCGCTGAAGGCCGGAACAAAAATAACACTGCCATTGTCTGTCGCCTTCTCAGCAAGATTCTGCGAATCTTTGGCGTTATCGAGAATTTCGATGTTATCCTTAAGCCAGCCCAACGCTGCGCCTGCAACAGCTACCTGGAATTTAAGATAAGTTTTATTATACGATTTACGCTTTAATTGCAATGCCTTTTAATCCTAACTTATGCTAGTGTGTCAAGGATGTTATAGCCATTGTAATACTATTACTTAATATCGATAAATCCACGTTCCCAAAATCGTACAACTAAAGTTCTATTTAGTACCAACAGGTTACATAGCACAACATAGTGTACTAGTGTGATACAAATAGTGGATAACAACGTAGTGTGGCATGAAAGAAGACCGGCGAGAAGTAATAATTACTTAAGTTTTCGTATCTTACCGGTGAACGTACCATATGCGAAGTCTCCAGTGTAGTAAGAGCTAATTTATCGCGTTTACATAAAAAAAATGTTACGGATAAAATGGATGCCATTTTTGAAAAAGTGGAGCAAGATCGGCATATCAGTAGTTCCGATGTGCTGAAGAACTGGGAATTGACCACAAAACAGTTTTGGCGCATTTGAAAGAAGCTGGGTACCCAAAAAAGCTCGATATTTGGGTGCCTCATGAGCTCACTGAAAGAAACCTAATGAACCGTGTACTCATTTGTAATTCTTTATTACGACGTAATGAAACCGAACCATTTTTGAAAAACCTGAAACTGGTGATGAAAAGTGGATCACGTACGACAAGAACGCGCAAAAAGGTCGTGGTCAAAGGCTGGTCAGGCTTCACAGACTCTGGCAAAACCCGGGTTATCGCGCAACAAGGTAATGCTGTGTGTATGGTGGGATTGGAAGGGCATTATTTATTATGAGCTGTTACCGCCGCAGGACTGATTCTGAACTCTACTGCGAACAACAGGGGAGATTAAAGTAAGAAGTTGAGAGAAAGCGGCCTAAATAAATTAACAGAAGGGGTGTGGTTTTTCATTATGATAACGCTAGACCTCACACATCTTTAGCCACTCAGTAAAAATTAAGAGAGTTTGACTGGGAGGTGTTAATGCATCCGCCGTATAGTCCTGACCTTGCACCTTCAGATTTATTTAGGCAGTGTCAGGTTAACATCACGAGAGAACTGCTAAAACCACTTCGCAGTTTTTTTGATTAGAAGTACCAGGATTTCTATAGCAATGGGATTGCAGAAAGTTATCGAACAAAATGGCACCTACATACTTTAGTTAAATGTAAAGTAAAAAAAAGTAACATGCAAAGAAACTTTTAACCAAACCTATTAGTTTCAATCCATTCTAACCATGGAGAGCAAAGTGACGGACAGAAACGTTATTTTCGCGCTCGGTAAGTAATTTTTTGATTAACGTTTACGTGCATCATTAAACTAGATATGATAAGTTTTTCTACACAGTTTTTTACTGGTAACTAGTAAATATCTTTCAGATATGTTTTTAAAAACTATTTTTCTATTTTGCACATGGATATAAAAAGAGGTTATATTTAACCTTATTTGGTTAATGGGACATTTTCGTACAGAACATGGGTGAACAGGGGTACATTCGTGCGCATATCAAGACCATGCCGATTGTTCGTGCACATTTTTATAATAAAATATAAACGAACAATCGGCAATGGGCACGTATATGTATTTAATATTCTTCTTTACAGTATAATGGTGCTAAATTATAAACCTATAAAACAATGTAATGAGAAAAATTTTAATAATTTGTTAACTTGTAGATATATATTTACGTATAATTTTTGTTGACTAGAAGAAGGGTCTTTTATTTTTGTTAATTTTTTGAATTTTATTTTATGTCCACATAAATAAAAATATTCTATTAGCGGTCTTAATCGCAATGTATGAAACTACCACACATCATTTAATTCATAATTGTGCAATGAACATAAGATCATCCAAAGATTTTTTTTAATTAATCAATAAAATAAACGATTTTTTTAAAATTAATCTCAGATAATGTACTAGTACTGTTTGTACTAAGTTCGCTATTTAATGGGATAGTTGAAGTGAAAATAAATGAAATTTAAGAAACATAATAAGGGTCCCGACCTTCCCTTAATAATACAACGGCCGATGAAAACAATGAAGGCTTCTACTTCGTTAGGTATCGAAAAGAAAACTGAAATATTTTTCATTATACAATCTTTTATAATTCTTTTTTTTTTTTCTAGTGACATGAATTTTTATTACGATAATTCTGCTGATTAATGTGGGCGTAGGTAGTAAGTACCCTTGCCTTTACTTACCGGGAATTTATCTTTGTTATTAATATTGGCGATGAACGTTAGATTACAAATGTGCTGAGCCCAGCGCACTTTTACTTCTACATTAGTGTAGGCTCAACCTTACTTCACTTCTACACCTTTAGTGTAGGCTCAACCTTAGCGGTGAAGTGTATAAATTTAATTAATACTTCTATAAATAAAATTTTACTATGTTATAAGCATACTTACCGATCCTTCCAAAGCATACGAAGGTGGGTTCATGCTGCCGAGTTGATAAGCAACAGTCGTCAATAGTCCTCGGCTGGAATTCACACGTATGTCACCAGTATTGTAAAGCACGAAGCACCCAGTCCCGTAAGTAGCCTTCGCTTGGCCCTTATGCAAGCACATCTGTCCAACTAAGCAGCTTGCTGATCGCCAAGGCACCCCGAAATCGGAATACCTTTCAATGGTCCACTTGCGATGTAACCGTAAATCTGTAAACGTTGTGAAATTCGAACCGTGATTCATCAAACTTCAAATTCTGGCCGATATTCCGTCTTTCTGTTAATCGAACTAGGTACCTTTCCAAACATACTAGGTTTCCTAATGTACGCAGACGATACCAAAATTTACACTAAAATTAGATGTTTAGATGATTGTCAAAAGTTTCAGGATAGAATAAGTGTTAATGTAGAAAAGTGCTCCAAATAACTTTTTCAAGGAAAATTAACCCAATTAAATTTACCTACAACTTAAACAACAAAAGTAAAGTAACAGCCTATACATGTCCCACTGCTTGGCAAAGGACTCCTCTGTACAAAGCGTATCAGGGCATAGTCGCATAGGCGTATCGGGCGGGTTGGCAGATTTCACATCGAACTCAGGTTGCTCGAGTATATTGAATTAAAGGCGAGCGCCCGGACACTGAGCTATCACGGGTCCAATAAACGACAAACCTATAAACTAATTCACAATCGGGTTTTTTTTTAATTATTTTTATCATTATCTTATTTATTATTTTCTTATTATCTTTACTTCTATGGGATTTTTATCTATAAAGATACGCCAACACCATCGTAACTTATAAAGAGATCTGTGGCTGGAACTCTCGCATTGAGATGTTGGATTTAGGACTCTTGTGTCTGCGTATGATAGTAGATATATCCTGTCCAAGGCATTCAGCTTCAGGCCCAGGGACTTTATTGCGCATGAGACAATTTTTGGACGCTTGAAATTATTGACTCCAACGGTACTGTTTTTGAAGCAATTGCAAAGTTTAATCCTCGCGCCAGCGCTTTTGAGCCTCAGCTGACACTACGTGTGACGCTATATTTAACATACTACTCTCCGGTGTGCCATCGGTTTTTAACAGGCCCTTTAGTTTTTCTTCATGAGTTCTGATATTATTATATCTTAATATTATAATGTCTTCTTATAATGTCTCATGAAAGTTTTAATAATTTCATCCAAGAGAAATTTATAAAATATCTTAATTTAAAAAAAAATCATATTTCGAATAGCTACGAAAGGGCAACAGATACTCTACTACTACAACTCAGGCAAAGAGTTTGATGACTCCGTGGCGCAGTTGCCAAGGTATTATTGGCTTCGGCGTCGAGGGTCGTGGGTTCCCCCTCCCCATCCCCACACGGGACAACTATTTGTGTGACCCACAGATAGTTGTTTCGCATCTGGGTGTTTGTCCGCGTGAAATTTATGTTTGTAAAACGTCCTTGCAACACAGGATAAATGTATCCTATAGTAAGGGCAATGTTTTATAAAAAAAAAAAACCCGAAATTATAAAGGTGACGTTTCTACATTCACTACTTTCTAGTCGTTTCGATACTCCAGATCTGTTAGCTGAGTCATAAAAATTACCATTTTTCGTTATACATTACTAGTGCATATTCGTTTAGCAGGAAACCTTTCTGAATCGTATCTCGTATACACACAACATCAAGTATTCACATTTAGATATATTTTTTCTGCCATACACCGCATTTGAAAAGTTAATAAAGGTAGATTTAAACATAATATAACAAAAATTCGCGCACACACAAACAGACATGCATACTCACTCACGCACATTTGCATTCGAACCATACCCTTCTTTTATTTTTTTTTTGTTTTAGTAAATTATGCATTAGTACATTTTTAATTAAGCTTCCAATTAAGTTTTGCCATTTTTCTGTTTAACTTTTTTAAATGAACATTTTTGAACATTTGTTACTTTCATTATTATTTTATGTATTTATATAGTGGAAAACTATTTCGGTTTCAATAAGATGTGATAATCTGGAAAGACTATTATATAATATGCTGTTATTTTCCTAAACAAATAAATAAAAAAAGAGTAAATCACTGCGCGACCAGTTTATTCTTTTTCTTTTATACAGCGTGTCGTTACCATCGCGACAATAAATGAGCACACATATAGGGGATAACTTTTTAAAGTTGTATAAAAATTTAAATTCTTTAAACATCAATATTTACAGAGTTATTAAATTTTTCAAAACAAAGAATTTTAGAACACCCTTACCTATAAAAGCGTAACGTAAAGTGCATTTGTAAAGGTCACAAAGCATATGAATGGGTTGAATGAATTTAAAAGAGACAAAACATACTGTTAGAAGGAGAGGCTTATAATGCGACGCTGTGGCGCGAGTTGTATACGATGATACAAATTTTGTTTCTCTTTTACTTAATTAGTTTGTTTGAAAAAAATATTTTTTTAATTATGGATTTTGTTTAAAGTTAATATTTTTTTATGATTATTGGCAAGTAGCGTTAGACGTGTGTTCATTTATTGTCGCCATGGTAACGACACGCTGTATATGAATGCTTAGGTAATGGTTACAAAGACGAGAGTTTGCAATCAATTTAAGCAGCAATTACGCACATTTACCTTTACATTGCGGCTAATTAAATGCAGTCTGTATCAATGAAAAGTCAAGTAAGATTAAACAGAGGTGGAAATCTCAAACATTTGCTTGTTTCTTACTATTAGGAACTACTACTACCTTATATAGGGACTCGTAGAAGTTTGTATATAATTTAGTAAATTTTCACCATTTTAATTGCTAAGCTTAATTAATGATACTTTTATTAAACTTTTTAGGTTATGTAACTGTTGTTTATGTTTATATAAATATATATATGCCCATTTTATATTGCTCATAAAATGTTAATTATTTAAAATAAGAAGACAGTTTCTGATCACATAACAAACGAAATGTTATTAAAAATTGATAGCTTGCTAACAATATTCTCCCTGTATATGCGGATGTTCAAATAGTGTTTGGAGCTTTTTATCACTGCTGTGCAAACATTCATAGAAAAACTCATAGATCCCAGACATACTCTGGTATGGCAGAACATAATATAAATGCAGAAAAAGTGCAAAGAGTAACCATATGATTATACCTTTTTGGCTATGAGTAATTTTATGGTTCCAAATCATAAAGTAACTCTTATTTTCTCTTTTTAGGTTTCTTTCGATCTCTCATGAAGATCAAATTGACTACTGGTCCACACATTTAAATAAGGAAAATATATATTTATTATTCCTGCAGAGAAGCATTAATATCATGTTCTGGGGACATTTATGTACAATTTTTTTAAATATTCGTAATACCTCTGAGCTTGACTTTATCTCTGGAAGGACTGACTTTGGCACTTCAAAGAATTTAAGCAGTAAAGGATCCCATTTTAGGGTTTCAATGTTCATCATCATTGTCCGCGATGCATTGGTTACATCTGTCACATGTTTTCCACCGTTTGGGCCTCCTGAAATACATACATAAAAAATTAATGCAAGGATCTATTATTTACGTACGAAAATTGAGAATAGAAAGAGAAAAAAAAAATTAAGAGGTTATATTTATTTTTACATTATTCTTGTTTTTTTATATGTAATAACTGCCGCCCCTGGGCATTTGCAACACCCAAAAGATGGCAGATGCATTGCCACCTTTTATTAAAGTGGGCCCCAGCTATCTCACTCACCAGACGAAAAGCAGAAACTAACTAGGTGATCTATGTGAGTTTTTGGTACTTCCCCGGATTGATCTACCCATTCATGCAAAAGCAAACTGTTGTGTAGCCCTACCATAGTTTAAATCTGAATTTAAAAATAAGAAGGAAAAAAATTACATCAATGTTTTTCTTGATATTATCACATAAGTAAAGCAGAATATAGATAAAAACAGAAATGAGAGCAGTAGCTTCCCACTGAACTTTAATATCATATGTTTGTTACAATACCTAAAAATAACACCCTTATCTATATTTTTCTCAATTATCGTTTAATTAGCAACTAAGTGACTTTCAATAATCTCTGCACATTCTTCCATATAAGTCATAGGTTATCATTAGTTGCTCATCCATTCACATTGTATTTATAAATATAGTTCATATGAAAATGCACGCTGATAATGATGCATTTAAACTTGTATATTATCATAAAATTGTGTATTGAATTATTTATTTATATATATTTATATACATATATATTTATATATATGTTTTATTACATTTGTATTCTATATACAAATAAATATTTAATATAGAAATGAGTTATTCAAAATTTTAGATAAATTCTAATTCTAATTTTAATAATTTTTCACACACATATTAGTCTTCAGTTCTATTCTAGTAATAAACTAGTTAATTGAGAAAAATCTGGTCTGATTATTAAACATACCAGTTAAATTCCAAATGATCCAAGTGTCAACAGTACCAAAACAGCATGCACCTTTTTTCATAGCTTGGTTAACAACCTCCACTTTATCACTGAGCCATCGTAGCTTTACTGCACTGAAGTAGGGTGACAGGGGTAAACCGCAAAGTGGCTGCAAAAAATTATTGTAGCAAAATTATATATATATAGCAGTTAAACACAACCAAATACATGCATCCTTTCTAATAAAATAATATAAATGATATTATGCATATGGTAACATATTGTAAGTGGATGCTATTGTTGGTCAAGGCACTAGATCCTTAATCCACATAGTATTTTTTTTATTTATAAGTTGTTATCGGATTTAAGTCATGTGGAGCGGACCATTAGTACCAAGCAGACGTCCTCACAACTTAAATCGGATAATTTAAAAAATAATTGTGAATCTAAACCATTGTGGAATCGACCTGAAGACACAAAAGATTTAATTAATATCGGTCCAGCCATATACACACATACAGTTACCGCAGATAGTAGTGTTGATAAGTACATTAATATTATAAATGAAATATTATTCAACATTAAAAAAGGTTGTAGGGCCACACAGCAGCTTCCGCTGTTGCACGAATGGGCAGGCGCGTCCGGTTAAGTACCACGATCTCACAAAAGACCGGCGTTAAGTGGAAGTATAATACTTTCGCGTTTGGTCTGGTGAGTGAGGTGGCCAGAGCCCAATTTTCAAAATATTGTCAACACATCTGGAACCCTAGGGTGTAGTAGATGTTGATAGGCAGCGGTATTCACTTAACATCAGGTGAACTGTCTGCTTGCTTGACAACTTTTCACATACAAAAAAATAAAAAAAAAGGTGACACACCTTCAAATAGTTTTTATTTCTTGTTTTATTTGGTACTGAGTCTAATAATTTATCGATGGTACTTGTCGTTCTCATATCCAGCCATACTATAGCATTGTGAAGAGGTTTGCCAGTACTTTTGTTCCATACAATTGTTGTTTCCCTTTGGTTAGTTACACCTACTGCTACAATATCCTAGAATATATAAAAGGAGAATAAATTATTTTGGGAAGGATATTTTACAAACTAAAAAAAAAAACTTTCCAATTCAATAGTTATGTGTCACAATATAATCTTAAAGTTTATATCTTTTTTCTAGAAAACAAACTTTAATAATCATACCACTGATTAGTATCTAGTAATATTTATCATTCAAGAAAAGCCAAATGGTTAACGGAAACTTTATAGTATGGTCAGGGAAAGATCAAATTCTTATAAGGATTATTAATTGATAATGGAGTACTGCAATCAACATTAGATAATGAATTCATTAATAAAACAATGTAAACAAAAAATGGTCTTATTGCAATAATTTATACTACTGCGATTGAATTATTCAAATACTTTTTTCTCTTTCTCGCTTTTGAATATTTATTGTCTGTGAAATGTCCACAATAATTTATCTATTGCGATAGTTAGAAATTATTCACTAGAATAAAAATGGGACATGGATTAACAATATGTACTAATAAATTATTTTCAATTAATTTTTTCAAGGTATTTGTTTGTCAATCACATTTTGCTATCACACTTCAGACTTAATTAATGTTAGCATAAGATGTTTCATGGAGTTGTTGCATACAAAAAATAATAATGTATTACATAGCATGTAACAAGGTTAACCAAAGTAACACAAAAAACTAATTTAAATTACGTATACACATAAGGAGCAAGGAGTCTGCTGGTAAAAAAAGTATTGAGTTTTCTTGATAGGTATTTATATAATCACAAAATCATAATTTTTTAGGTTACAATAGACAGCTTGTAACAAATGCAGAAATCTTGAAGTGTTGTTTATTCATTAGTAGCTTTTTAAATTATGTTTTTGTTAATTTTATATATTAGACTAACCTTTGGGCTTCCACCTAAGGAAACTAATTGCTCCACTGATTTTTCAATGCATGTTGTAACAACCTCCATGATACCAAGAGGATCTTGTTCCACCCATCCTTCTTGAGGAAAATGTTGTTCTAAATCTTTCTGATAAAAAGCAACCACTTCTGTTGAATTCGCTTTGAAGATTATAAAGCGAGCACTCGAAGTGCCTTCGTCAATTGCACCGACCAACGGGCCAAATTTTCCAAAATTCGACATAACGAAACTTTTCTTCTATCTGTTTCTTTTAATTGGTCCGTTTGTTTCTAATCTCATCGACGTTCTAGTTTAATGTGCATTATCTCTGTTGGATTGAAATAAAAAAAATATTTCGTTGTCATATTCATTTTTACTCTGTCTAAGTACGACTGACGTTGACTGTTCTCATGAGTGTTGCCAACAAGACTAATATAAAATGTGCTAAGCTACTGATAACATTTTGCCAAATTTTGCTAGTTATGTTGTTTTCTAATAATGCTAAAAATATCCTTACCTTGTAAAATTTTAGTAGTCTGTGAAATTTATCTTAAAAGGTAAAATAATATGTTTTAATCGTAAATATTTTTGCTATCGGAAATATGTTATATTTATTTGTTTACCTAATAATTGTTACTACCCTACCCTCCGCGGCCGAAATCTGGTGATCGGCGGAGCAACAGGCCAGGTCCGCTGCTGGGGGCTGGGAGGCTTGCAGCTTATTAGCACTGGCTCTCCTGGCATGGCCCCGGTCAGCGAACTCGGGGGAGTTCGTTGGTTGTGAAAATGGGGCCGAGTAGGAAGGCGCGTTGAATGATCCAGCGCGCCTTAACTGGAGGAGAGGGGAGTTGCCCTCCGGGAGGGGGCTGCTTAGGCGGCCAGCGCTGGCAGGGTCGTGGAAGTGTGCGAAAGCGTTGCCGTGACCCTGCCGATATGCGCCTAGGCGGAACATCGTGGGGGTTCTAGTCGGTGCGAGTCCGACATAACCCGCTCTTACCCTCGCGAGAGCGGCTATGCGTAGGCATTTCCTCCACGTAAACAATAAACAATGGTGCGCAGTGTCATAATTGGCCATACGGCCGCAACTGTTTCGCTCACCCTAGGTGCGTCAAATGCACACAGTGAACACGGCATTGTACAAGACTGAAATATTGTGCAGATCCACCTGATTGTGTTAACTGTCTCACCACCGGCCACCCGGCTAGCTACAGAGGCTGCCCTAAAGCCCCTAAAACTCTCACGATGAAAAGGCCCGCGAAAATCGCGCCACAGAAAACCGCGCCCGCGAAATTAATTTCCGCGCCCGCGCTCGTCGTAAACGCCGGGGCTAAGCCACACGTTGTCGCCCCCGGTTGCCTCTTGACGGCGACATTTCAATTGCAGCCCGCCAAACAACAGGCGCTGAAGCCGCATGTGCATACAATAGCACCCGTTGACCCTGACAGGACTACCCTATTGCCCAAATGGCAAACATCTCATCATCATCAACAATGAAAACATTACTACAAAAGAACTCAATATCAAGTATAGACCAGTAACTACTAATAGAATAAATTCTTTTAGAAATAAAATGGCACATCATGTATTCCATAAATAAGTATATAGCAGTCAATAACCCTAATGATTAATTATTTATTTAATAAATAGAATTCTAAATCCAAACAATAAAATAAAAGCCACATGGGACATCATTACCCGTATATCCGGAAGAGCAAAGATATTCAGAGAACCTATTAAACTGGTTACTCGTGTAAGTAATACTCCCATAACAACAGATAATGAAATTGCAAATAATTTTGTTACACAATAAAGTCTTCTCCCATAGAAGCAATTAACGTATTGAAAAATAATGTTACCTATTCTCGACACACGTTTACATTTAATCACGTAAATACTATAAAGAAATTTAAACTTTTTATAGTGCTAATCTCTTGCACTTAAGATTATACAATATTTTTCTACAAATTTTAACGTAGATACTTTTTTAAAGTTTTGAATTCTATTAATCTTAAAAATACACAGGATTTATGGGGCATGTCCATAAAATTAACGACCCCAATAATGCCATACGTTTCACCACATTTGGCTTATATTTTTAATAACTGCATTGATTCTAGAATATTTCTAGATCTTATGAAATTTAGTAAGATAATTTCAATCTTCAAAAGTGATGACAAAAATGATGCAGGTAAACATAGACATAGGTCTAACAAACTTTACTTAGAGCTGGCAACATGGAAATAGCCATATTGCCAGCTCTAAGTAAAGTTTTTGAAAAATTAACTTTAAATCAACTTTTAGTACATTTTAATATGAACAAAATATTTCACGATGAGCAATATGGATTAACTAAAGCCAGCTCGATCGGATGCTGGCGTCGTACTAGTCAAACATATTTATAACGCCTGGAAAAGGTCACGATATGCAATAGGTGTCTTTTGTGACCTTTCAAAAGCCTTCGACTGCGTAGACCACAAAACTCTGCTTCATAAGCTAGATTATTACGGCATTCTTGGCATCGCCCTCAATCTCATTGCTTCTTACCTTAATAATAGAATTAAAAATGTATCTGTAAATTATGTTAATTCTACAAGGTCCCCCATGAAAATGGGTGTCCCACAAGGATTAATCTTGGGCGCATTATTGTTTTTAGTATATACAGCATGTCTTTACAATCGCGACAATAAATAAACTGGATAAACGGGATAACTTTTTAAAATTGTATTAAACATTTAAATTCTTTAAACATCAATATTTACAGAGTTATTAAATTTTCAAAAACAAAGAATTTTAGAACAACCTTACGTATAAAACTGTAACGTAAAGTTCATTTGTAAAGGTCACAAAGCATATGAATGGGTTGAATGAATTTAAAAGAGACAAAACATACTGTTAGAAGGAGAGGCTTGTAATGCGACGCTGTGGCGCGAGTTGTATAGGATGTTACAAATTTTGTTTCCTTTTTACTTAATTAGTTTGTATGAAAACTATTTTTTTTAATTAATGATATTGTTAAACGTTAATATTTTTTTATGATTATTGGCAAGTAGCGTTAGACGTCTGTTCATTAATTTCGCGATGGTAACGACACGCTGTATAAATGATCTCCCATTTTATGCCAGTGAGTTGTGTGATATTGTACTGTTTGCTGACGATACATCGCTAATTTTTAAGGTTGACCGAAATGTATCAAATTATGACGATCCCCCTTCGCATATCCACTGGTTGACTAATAACATGGTTAATAACATGGTTTTAAAGGCCAAAAAACTAAATGTCTTCTTTTTACCCTTTCCAGTTTAAGAAGGATAGTAAAATAAAAAAAAAGCCTTTTATTTCTTGCTACACAATAGAAATTGACAATTTGAAAAATGGAACAATGTGCCGTTATGTAGAATTAATGAATTATAATTATAAACGTAAATTTGCAAGAACCCCTCCCAACGAAAGGTAAAGGCCTCCTCCAGAGTTGACCAATTTATTCTGTCTTCTACTACCCTCATCCTGTTGGTACCTGCTATTTTTTTAAATAATCGTTTGCCCAGCGCGCATTCGGTCTTCCCCTTTTTCTTTGGCTGATGGTTCTAACCATGATGTCGTTTTTGTGGTCCGGCGATTGTCAGTAAGTCTGGCTATGTGTCCAGCCCATCGCCATTTTAGCGTTTTCGCCTACAAAAAGTTTGTCGTTTATGGGTCAAAGTGAGCGCATATATAATAAAATCTCACAGTCGATGATAAGAGCCACTGTATCATTTTAAACGCAGTATTAAAAGTTATCTTATTGCTAAAGCATATAAACCATACCGTTGCGGACGAATATATTGATCGATGCCAACATGTGGTGTTAATACTTGATTCTGACGTAGGCAAAAGAATATTGTTATATATGTCGGGGTGTTTGCGTGTATAATGCATAACATTATGTGTTTTCCTTTTAATAACTTTTAAAAATAATTTAATTTTTTTAATTTAATTTAATTTAATAATTTTATTTGATTTGTTACATTTTTACATTAACTTAAAACCTTAGTAAACCTTAGTAAAATAAAAGATCCGTGAACCTTAGTAAAATAAAAGACATTGAGAACCAACCCTAAGAATATCAACGAGAACAATTCTCTCTCTCTCTCTCTCACACACACACACACACACACTCAAAAATGCAATCAAATCAAAAAATGCTTTCCGATCCGGTGGTAACTTACTTATGTATTAATTATTTATTTAAGCATCGACGCTTCATAACAACGCGCAAGCGTCTATTTGAATAAAAATATTTTGAATTTGAATTTAAATTTACTTACTCAGGAAGATCTCGACGCCCTGTCAACAAAGCTATCGACCGCAACATCTGGCACCGATAGACTCAAAGCGCACAAAATACGTCTACAAGACGCCTTTTGGATGCTTACAAGTCAGTCGTAAAAACTTTATTATAGCTCCGGCAATAAACACACGCTCCGCCGCATTTTAAGAACCGTTAAAAAACCTTAATGGATAGTAAATCCGCAGGTTGTTTAGTTCAATGCAAACAGCATTAGGGACCAAAGGGACGAATTTCTCCGCGATTAAAATATACAATTTTCTAGTGCAAAAGACTTTGTTAAAGCCTAGCGTACGCGATACCAAAATCGTAAACTTCAACATAGTCACACCGTAACCGGTTTGCAAACCGTAGTACCTCCGTACAGGAGGTAGTTTATTGTATTACAAACGTAGCACCTTGCACTGTAAGCCCACTGGATATCCCCGAGCTAAGACAAATTAGGCATCACCGTGTACGTTAGCACTCACCGGCCATAGGCCGCTTGTACTAGTAACAGCCTACGTCTCGCCAAGTAGAACCCTAATACAAAGCGAATTAGAAACTATTCTTAACCTAGGCCCATCCGTACTAATTGAGGAGTTCTTAACTGCAAACACGGCTGATGGGAGGGATCCCAAATTACTTAAAACGACAACGGTAGGAGGCTCTTTTTCTGACGATACAAAATTCTGCATAATCGCTCCTGTGACGAGACAGACCAAGAATTAGATCCAGATCACAGGTCCGTCCTGTCTAAACTGGGCCAGCACGCCGGCACGGTCCTTCCGACCAAAACTGTAGCATCGTCTTGAGGTCAAACTCCGCCTTCAGCTAGAAGTCAAACATCACCAATCCGCGTCGACCACTTTACTAGAAGACAACTAACCATAACGCACACCCACTACTGGCGGTTAGCCCGTAGTTTTAAAGCCCCGCG